AGAGGGCGTGAGCATGCAGTGTGGACAGACGGAGTGGCTCAGACGAGTGCTCTCACACGGCCTCTCCACACCTTCCTCTTTCAGGAAACAAGCAGGCCCAGGCTTCTCCTGCTCGGCCCGCTGCGGGGAGAGGTGGGGAGTTTAATGAGGCGTCCTGCCCTCCCCTGACGCTTCTGCTTACGTCCTCCGGGCTTCCGTGTGCATGTGTCCTCCCTCTGTGTGGACAGAGGAGAGCTTGTGGAAGGTGCCAGCTCGCTGCACAGGGCCCCTCTGCCGGGCGCCAGGGCTGGCAGGTGTCTGTTCTGCACACACACACCCTCAGGGACCCGCCCCAGCTCGGTCCGCTGCCCATGGCCGGCTCTCACCTGAGCTGGACGGTGTTCCCAGGAAGGTTGCTTTTGAGGAAGCAGCCAGCCACGCCAAGAGGGAAGCTCGCCACCAAAGGAACGCTGAAATGTGTTTGGGTTTCTTTTGTGTTTTAATCCTGCAGCAGGGGCAGTGGGGGTGTGGCTCAGTGGTCTCTGGGCCGGGCACGGGGCTGCAGAGAGCTGCAGTATCCCCATGGCAGCTGCAGAGCGTCCCCAGGGCTTTCCCACCAAACATCACAGACCAGGACTTGCATATGCACCATCCCTCCCTCAGGGCGGCGCGTCTCCACACACACTGAGGATGCTGGACAGTGTCTGTCTCTCCTGCCAGTCACAAGTAGGAGTCGGTGTCAATGTGACCTATGTCCTTGACCTTGAGACCTGGAAGTGCTATCCATGTTCTAGGCACGCTCACCTCCAGCTCTTCCCCTGCCTGTCCTGCTGGCCCGCCTTGCGTACCCTCACACTTGCTGGGACCTACTAGTAGATTCACTGTGGAGCAGGACTAGAAATGGCCTTTTTCTTCCTTCAATGGGCTCAGACACGGGTTTCAGGTCATCTTGCACGAGTGGCTCTGCCCCAGGCAGGGGGGAAGCAAACAAGTCAGACATGGCCTGTCCTCAGAGGGCTTGGGTCCCCTTCTGGCCTCCTTGGGCTGTCCCTCCTGTTCTGTCGCTACCTCTGCAAACCTGTGTTCTCCTGTGTGCGTCACCCTCTGTCCCAGCCAGGTGAGGGGAGAAAGGGGTCCAGGAGACCCAGGAGAGCTGTTCACTGTGAGTCAGGCACAAAAAGATTGAATAGCTTGATCATCCTCACCCTGGAAAGGGGCCTGAATGTTCAAATCAATGAATCACGGTACCTGCCGTTCCCAGTGCCCTCCGTGCGGAATACAGGGAGTGCATTCTGGCAGCGAAAGGAAATCTAAACACTCCCGCCGGACGCTGCCAGGCTTCAAATTAATTTCTTTTCACCGTTTTGTGGATTTTTGAACTAGAATTTGCCTTTAATCAGTGCCTGTCACGAGCTGGGAATGTGTGTTGCATGTGATTCTTTCAAACGGGGATTATGCCAACGGTGATTTGTGTGGCTAATTAAAATGAAAACTGTCGCACTAAGCTCCGGTGTGTTCTCTAAGCATTTGTCTAAGTGACTGGAAAATGGACTTCTGATATTTGGGGTTGCTGGGACTGGTGAGGGGAAGCAGAGGATTCCTTGCTGGTGGGATCAGTACCTCCTCCCGGGCTCTCCAATGAACTGAGCCCCAATCAGAGCCCTTAGCTGGGTGCCTCTCTGAGTCATGGTAAACGTGGAGAAGGAGAAACAGCACCTCAGACTTGGTGGCTGTCGTGTCCCACACTGTGCTTATGCTCGGACAACTAAAAATTAACCCCATTATTCACGGATGTGGCCGAAGACATTGGCATGGGAGAAGCCAACCCCAGGCATCGGACAGTTATGCATTTATTAAGGTCCTTGCCGCTGTAGCTAATAATCAACATAACAGTGTCATGTGAGGGTGGCTGTCCTGTGTCTGAAATGAGAAATAGCAGTTTTTATACAACGACAAGAAACATACTTGGGTAATAAACGTAGAATGAAACTCGATGAGATGGCTTATCCATTATCTTGTAATGTGGGTTTTTTGTTTTGTTTTGTTTTGGTAAACAGTAGACACCTTCTTTTACACAGAACATAAGTAGAAGCGTGACTAAAAGCCACCCTGGAGGAGAAATGGTCTCCCCTCCCCCGAGCACCCCCTGGAGAGCAGCACCGAAGGCTGGGAGGGGAAGCTTCTGCGTGTGTTTGACTTTGGCACATGGATATGGGGGTGGCGGGGAGGGGACAGGAAAGGCACTGAAGGAATTCAGTAAGGTAGCAGATGAGTAGAGGCGGATGGGGAAGATTTTAGGACGTGGGTAATACGATGTCAGCTTTTTTCCAACTAACGCATGTATAGGTTCTAAATTCAAAAGGGATAAAATACATTTTTCTTCGTCCTCTGTCTGCCAGCGTGTGGTGGTATTTGGCGTGGGCTGACCTTCCAGACGTTCAGACTGCAGAAGCATAGACGTGTACCTATGCACACAGTTGAGCACTTGCTTTTCTGTTAGTAAATCTTGATGAGCATTTCACGTCCATTCAGCTAGAGCTGTCACTCTTCGTTCAGACAACTGCATGCATTGGTGCTTGTAGCTTTGTGAATAACCCTCCAAGTCTTGTACATAGTTGCAGGCATGTCCATGGGATAAAACCCTAAGTAGACTTCCTGGAAATGGAACTGCGATGTCCAAGGAGATGGCCGCTGCGGACAGCTCTGCCCCGCCAGGAGGCCCGCCCAGCCCACAGCCCGTGGGAAACCTCCTCAGGGGAGCGTCACCTCCAGAGGCAGTTTGAAAACCAGCACCTTGGCGCTGAGGAGGCAGCTAGGATTGTTAATCTTGCCCTGGGGCAAGGGGTCCTTGCCTTACCCATGGCGTTCCCATCAATGGGCTGGTTGTCAGGGTTGGGGCACCACTGGACAGAGTGAACCGAGCTTTCCAGGAGCTGGTCATTCAGAAGGTGGGACGGACAGACAGTGCTAGAGAGAAGCCCGGGCACGTACCCAAGGTGACTTGCTGCTGGAGCTTTGCCGATCTGATAGGGCAGGCGGATACACTGAAGTCTTCATCTGCCCCTCCCCCTAAGGGAAGGCTGAGTGGTGTGCATCCAAGCCACTGTCCATGCCCTTTGACCTTAGGGTTGGAGATCTGTAGAAGCTTGTTATTCATTAAGGAAATGAATATTTGCCTAATGTTATAAATATTTTTCTTTGTCTTCGGACTTCTTCATGGCGTTTTCACCATGTAGAACTTTAATTTTTATATTGGCAAATGTATCGATTTTTGTGATTTTTTGGGTTTTATAAATGATGTAGAAAGGATACTATTTTTTTTTGTTTTTTTTTTTTCCCCTAGTACTCTTAGGGTTCTATATTTTATACTTAAAGTTGTTTTGTCTTTTTTTTTTTTTTTTTTAGTTAATACTATTATAGATGTCCCCACTTCTCACCCCCCCCCCCCCTTTTCCCACCTCCAACCCAACCCCGCCCTCCCCTCCTGGCCCTCACCACATTGTTGTCTCTGTCATGCGCCACACATACATGTTCTTTGGCTAATCTCCTCACCTTCTTCCATCCAGTCACTCCCCTGTGACTTTGGCAGTCTGTCCCATGTATCCATGCCTCTGGTTCCATTTCACTTGTCAGTTTATTTTGTTCATTAGTGTCCCCATATAACTGTGATCACGTGGTGTTTGTCTTTCTCTGACTGGCTTGTTCTGCTTAGCACAGTCCTCTCCAGGTCCATCATTGCTATCCCAAAAGGTAAGAGTTTCCTTCTTTTCACAGCCACGTAGTATTCCAGCGTGTGAATGTACCACATTTTTAAAACCCACTCACCTACTCATGGGCAACATGGGCTGTTTCCAGATCTCAGCTGTGGTAAATAACACTGCTGCGAACATGGGGGTGCGTGTATAGTTTCTGACTGGCTTAAGGAGAGGCGCATAAAGGCCAGACGAACGTGGCCAGGCCGAGGCTGCGTGCTGCCTCTGCCCTTCGATTCCAGCCTCTGGCTCGTGTTGCCTTTCAGTCGTCTTGTGACCCATCCCCATAAATGGTCTTCCTATTCACCCCCCTCAAAGGACACTTCTTTCTCCTGCCCTCCCAGTACACATTCTGTCTGTCACTCTCACCTTCTGAATGACCAGCTCCTGGAAAGCTCGGTTCACTCTGTCCGGTGGTGCCCCAACCCTGACAACCAGCCCATTGATGGGAACACCATGTAAGGCAAGGTCCTCTGGCCCCAGGGCAAGATTAACAATCCTAGCTGCCTCCTCCTCAGATAGTGCCAAGGTGCTGGTTTCAAACCACCAGGAAGTGACGCTCCCCTGAGGAGGTTTCCCACGGGCTGTGGGCTGTGCGGGCCTCCTGGTGGGGCAGAGCTGTCCCCACACCGCTGGCCTAGCCCTTTGTCGCCTCCCAGGCCGACCCCTCCCACAAGCACAAGGTTGTTGCTAGGGTGCCGCCCCTGATGGGACTGACCCCACTCCTCGTGGGCAGTTACAGCTCCCACTCGAGAAGTCATCAGTTCCTGGGTGAAGGAAGGCTTTTTTCGGGCTCTCGTGTGCTGTGTGCGGCGTTGGGAGCAGCCCGTGAGGATGCAGTTGGGGAGCAGGAGAGGTACTGTCCACAGAGAGCAAAGACACTTAGCAAAACCTGCGGGCCCTCTAGCGACCAATGACATGCTCAGGCTGCTTGGTGTAATGAGTTCGTCTCCTTCTCGTCACACAAACCAACCCAGTCCACCCACCTGCCCCCAGTCAGACCGAACAGGCAAACAGAACCCTCACTGAGCAGAACTGTGGAGCCACCTGGTGTGGGACAGGGCCCACGTGTGTGCTTTGTCCATCCTTCTCGGAGACACTATTCTTTATGTGCTTCATCCTCAAGGCACCACCCAGCAGTGTGTCTGCTTTACAGGAAGTGTTCAGGGAAACATCACCCCTGAGTCCCTGGCGTTTGCCAGTAGACGTGAACCCTAACTCTGTTTCTCGCCCCCCATTTCAGTTTCCCCGGCAAGAACGTCCCCCACGATGGCCGAGGAGAGCAGCAGCCGCGGGGACGGCGCGTCCTGCAGCGTGCTCAGCTGGGACCAGGTGAGCCGGCTGCACGAGGTCCTGAACGAGGTGGTGCCCGTGCACGGGCGAGGCAACTTCCCGACCTTGGAGATCACCCTGAAGGACATCGTCCAGACCGTGCGCGGCCGCCTGGAGGAGGCGGGCATCCAAGTGCAGGACGTCCGCCTGAACGGCTCGGCCGCCGGCCACGTCCTGGTCAAAGACAACGGCCTGGGCTGCAAAGACCTGGACCTCATCTTCCACGTGCCTCTGCCCACCGAGGTCGAGTTCCATCTGGTCCGGGACGTGGTCCTGTGCTCCCTCCTGAACTTCCTGCCCGAGGGCGTGAACAAGCTCAAGATCAGCCCGGTCACCCTGAAGGAGGCCTACGTGCAGAAGCTGGTGAAGGTGTGCACGGACACCGACCGCTGGAGCCTCATCTCCCTCTCCAACAAGAACGGCAGGAACGTGGAGCTCAAGTTCGTCGACTCCATCCGGCGCCAGTTCGAGTTCAGCGTGGACTCCTTCCAGATCATCCTGGACTCCCTGCTGGTCTTCTACGACCGCTCCGGCCAGCCCATCTCCGAGCACCTGCACCCCACGGTGATCGGGGAGAGCATGTACGGGGACTTCGAGGAAGCCCTGGACCACCTGCAGAACCGGCTGATCGCCACCAAGAACCCCGAGGAGATCCGGGGCGGGGGCCTGCTCAAGTACAGCAACCTCCTCGTGCGGGACTTCCGGCCCACCGACCAGGAGGAGATCAAGACGCTGGAGCGCTACATGTGCTCCAGGTTCTTCATCGACTTCCCGGACATCCTGGAGCAGCAGCGGAAGCTGGAGACCTACCTGCAGAACCACTTCGCCGAGGAGGAGAGGAGCAAGTACGACTACCTCATGATCCTGCGCAGGGTCGTGAACGAGAGCACCGTGTGCCTCATGGGGCACGAGCGCAGGCAGACCCTGAACCTCATCTCCCTCCTGGCCCTGCGCGTGCTGGCCGAGCAGAACATCATCCCCAGCGCCACCAACGTCACCTGCTACTACCAGCCGGCCCCCTATGTCAGCGACGGCAACTTCAACAACTACTACGTGGCCCAGCCTCCCGTGACCTACAGCCAGCCCTACCCGACCTGGCTGCCCTGTAACTAACCTTGAGACCTGAGGGTTTTCTCAGCGGGACCCTCCAGAGGGCAAGGGCTCCCAGCTAGGGGAGCCTCCTTCTAGATGTAGGTGTTTGGCTTTTAAAGGGGAGCTCAGCTCTGGTTTTGCTTTCTTTTTTTTTTTTTTTTTTTTTTTTTTCTCTTTGTGGACCGGGTCCGCAGTGTATCATGAGCCAACCCTGAAGGGACCCGGGATTGCAGTGCCACTTTGGAAAATGCTGTAGGAAGTATGGCCTATCCACTTCTTTCCGAGACAGATGCCAACACGTCACGTGTCCCCCACGGCAGCGCAGCGGCCTGAGCTCTGTGCGGCCATTGGGATTGGGGAGCGTGAGGGCAGCCGGCGAGAGGGCGAAGCTGCTCGTCTCCCTGGAGCCTGGAGCAGGCCGTGCTGGCCCTCGCTCGCTCGGGATTCTCCGTGACGTGAAAGTTGTGCTGATAAGTCTATTGTGTCAGCTTTAGCTAGGCATGCCATTGTGAACACGAGGGTGCTTCTTTTTGTCCAGAGGACTTACATGGTTTGTGTTCATTCCCTGTCAGCAGAGCTGAGGATTGCTTTCATCAATAAACCAAAGCCAATCGCTGGAGAACCGAGGTCTGGCTGGAAGTGGTATGTGGGTTAGATGCTGTGCTCTCCTGAGGAATTGTGTGAGATAATTGCTGAGGAAAAAAAGAAAAAGGAAAAAAAAAGGGTGTGTGTGTGTGTCTTGTCTTGAACTATAACTTGAAAACAAAATAAAATGTGGAACCTGATGTTAAAATAGAATTATGGTGGTGGGGGGTGATTGTAAATAGGAAACATGAATGTTCCATTTTTAAAAAATTTTTTTTTCCTGTAAGGAATTCTCTGGAATGACACTTCTCGTTTCCTCACCAACTCATCACTTTTGTTTTTCTCTGGGGTCATTGTGGTGACTGGCGTGTGGGGGCCGCCCATGCTCTCATTGGAAACCCGCTTTGATCACATTCCAAGTATGACAAGCTGTTTTGTTCTGGAGTACTTGGGCTGATTTTTTGTTGTTGTTTTTCAAAAGTAGAGATTTTCTCCTCCCGGTTTTATGTGACAGCAAATGAATTCAGGAATTCCCGTAGACCTTTGTGACCTGTGGGAGGACCCGCCCTTGAGGGCGGAGCTCTGTGGCTCTCAGTTGCTTTAGAATGGAACTGCTGTCCCCAGGCCACTGCTCTGTGCAGGGGAGATGGTGGAGCATCAGGCGGGGGCCTAGCGTCCAGCCAGGCCTGGTGGGCACCAGCCGTGCAGAGGCCCCCGACAGGGATCGATTCCGGTGTGCCTGGGGAAGCATTGAGTGAATCAAGAATGATCCTCCTTATTTCGGTAGATTTGACCAGACCTGTTTGTATGCTGCACTTTAGAAGGAAAACAGTATTAACCTCTAGTCTAAAGCAAGCTTAGTCCACAGGAGAGTTCTAGGCTGTTGCTTTCCCAGTAGATTAAAGGAGGGATTTTGTGTGTTGAAACGTTAGGTACGCTCTCTTAGCAAAGCATCGCTTCGGGGTGTTGAGGGCAAAGAAATTCAATATTGCCAGCCAGCCTGGTTTCTAGAGTGATTTCATCGAACCCCGTGGTCCGGATGTTCAATTTCTCCCGTGGCCAGGAAAACCCTAAACCCTGAGTGATTGCTTTCTCCTTGCTTTCATGAGCAATGAATTACCTTGATGCAAAAATGCTTCATAGAAAAGGAGTGGTTTACTTTTTTCTGAAAATTATATTTTCAGGTGTTTTATGTGTTTTTTTTTTTTTTTTCTTCTAGAATGTGATGCCTTGGTCCTCTTACAACAGTCGGGGCAGGACTAAACCCCGAGGCTTACCTGGTCTCCAGGTTGTGCTGTGTCAGATGGATAGGAGCCACTTCTTAGCTCCTATCCTGGGTGCCAATCACATGTACACTCACTAGCTGTGAGGCAAGGCCCATCAGCATGGGAGGGGCAGGGGTGGGGTGCTTCAGTGTGAAAAGGGGGACAATGAAGAGTGAATCCCAACTTTTTAAAAACAAGGTGGTCATCCATGACCTGAAAGACTGCCATGGTGGTCAGATGGCAGCAGGTTTGCCCCCACATGGCAGATGTGCTTAACCAAGTGTTCACTGTGGCAAAGCTGCCAGCACAAGCCCTTGCAAACAGCAGTCAGTACCACAGGCACCCAGGAGGCTTGGGGATGGGGTGTAAGGCTCCTCAGGAAGGTGGGTCCAGAACCCCACCGAGGAATTAAGTTTCAGTGGCCTTGGCGTTCTTTCTGCTCATTGTTTTTCCTAGCTGGTACTAGTCCTTCTTTGAGGGGAGGCACAGAAGTTGCTAGAAATTCCCAGCCCCTCAGTTCTTGGTCACCCCTGCAGGACGGCCGGCTCGGTACAGCCTCTTCACCTGGAGTTTGAGAGGAGACGTGTTGGAGAGCCACCAGGGTGGAGAGCTGCAGGGACCCTGGGTTTGCCTGCCTCCGATCAGCCCGGGGAACCTGGGGCTCCGGGGTCTGGGAATTCCAGCGGCATCTGCTCTTCCTGCTGCTCACGAGCACCAGGCACTCTGGACTTCCCTGGGTCCAGCGGGTCTTTTTTGCGCGTTGAGTGGCATGAGACTCTGCAGTGGCCAAGGGCACTCACGTTCAAGTGCAAGCTGCCTCCCTGGCTCCCGGGGACAGCTTTCCGAGGCTGCCTCCCAGAGGCTGCTGGGAACCAGGCTGGGCAGCAGGGATGGAAGCAGGCTTTCTCCCCCGGTGCTGGCAGAAGGGCACGCACCCAGTTCCTGGCCCTGCGCTTCCGTCTCCCCCGCAGACCTCACCTTGGCAGGGAGACGCTCTTCCTGGCTCAGTAACTCAGAAACCAAACTCCCCATCACCAACACCTTAAGTCAGGGTTCCTGCCCACAGCCTGTGGGATGCGGCCTGAGCCACTCCCGGGGCCTGGCAGATGGGAGAGTCAGGAGGAGCAAAGCCGGATTCCTGGTACATGGCAGCGCGTGTGGTTTGGCATGTAAGGTTCTCCCACCCCCCTCCTCCCCGTGTGACTTTCCCCTGGAGATCTGAGTTCTCAGGGAGCTGCAGGTGAACCTGGGGCTTTCTGTGTGGGTGTGTGTGTGTGTCTGTGCGGTTTTGTTTTGTGATGACGCATTAATAAAAGGCGAAAGCCCCACACTGCGTGTCCCGCAGCCTCTCCTCGGGCCCTGGCCCCTTCCCTTCCGGGAGGAGGATCTGAACTAGTACCGCTCTAACGGCGGGAAACGGTGCCAATCCAAAGCAACTTGCCTCTCTCTGGTGAGCCTTCGGGACGGGGCCTTGTTTTAGGGGCAGCTCTTGTGCGCTTCCCTGTCCTCTTTCAGGAAACATGGCAGTTATCCGGGTGTGAGAAGAGACCCCGAAGCTCACCTGTGCCGTTACGTCTGGGGTGTCAGATTGGGGCTCCACACCAGGGTGAACCCTTCCGGGAGGTGGGGGTGGGGTCCGTGAGGTGCAGAACTTTGAGTTGCCAAGGTTACAGTTGTACTCTTAACCTGGCAGAGACCAGAATGCGACAGCTGACTTTGGAACGTACTCGGATCCAGCCGTGCCTTTCAGAGGGCCAGGAAAAGTGTGTGTGTATTTTGGAGGGTCAGGGAAGTGGGGGGTAAGGGGGTGGGGAGAGGGCAGTCATATATTTAAAAAGACCTGGCAACTTTTCAGGATTATTTGTGGAGACTGCCAAGGTGTGAGGATCAGGAACGAAAATGCTTTTTTTTTTTTTTTTTTTTTTTTGTGAGTTCAAGTTCTAAATCTTGTTGACCTATCACTTACCAAAAAATAGGTTAAGTGTCAGCAAAAAAAAAAAATTGGAGTTTTGCCTGGGCTGGTGAGAGTTGGTATAAATGTTCATGTTTGCCTAGGAGGTGAGGAGACCATCTACCAAAGAGGAAGTCATTAAATAGCACGGATCTGTGGGTGTTTTAACACTCCAAGCCATCTGGATTTTTTTTTTTTTTTTTTTTTTTTTATGGATTAAAAAAAAAAAACTCCTTTAGGAAAATTGAGAGTTTAGATCCCTTAACTTCCAAAGTTATATAGGTAAAAGTAAGACACCCATTTAGACTAAATTGCAAGTCTTGGTTCCTCTAGATTTGCGTGACCTTGGGAATGTTCATTTGCTAGTGGAGCCTAGGATGGCCGAGGCTTCCTCTCTGGTGTGATGGTCGCCGACCTTCCTACGTGAAGCAGGTAACATCACTTGTCAATGCAAAATGTATTAGAACTTGATGACATGGCGCTTTGAGTTTGAGAAATAAACGTATATTTAAACAAACACACACCTTGTCTGTTATGTGACCTGACTGCTCAGTTCTTTGTGCGTCTCTTCGGCGGGAACTTATTTTAGGTTTCTGGGAAGACGTTGCCTCGGGGCACACCGCTGCCTTCCCAACTGGACTCTTCTCCGAGGCGCCCGACGGAGCAAACCAAGCCTGGCTATTGACCACCGCAGTCCTCAGTGGATGCCCATGCCACTAAGCTGGGTGGGTCTGAGCTTGACCTTGGCTCCAAAACCCTCTCAATAAGAGCCAAAATGGCTTTGCTGTATACCAGGACTACGGTAGTTTCTTCACATTTTAAAGGAAGTGTCAGAGTGAACAAGTGATAGCTGATAGTTGATAGGTGTCCGGAGGGTACAGAGATTAGATCATGCACGGTGACCAGCTCGCTTCCTGACCCTCTGCACCCAGCCCTGCCTCAGCCATGGCCTCTCCCCCATGCTGTTCTTTCTTGAACTCCTACAGTATTTCCTGTAACTGCCATTAAAAAAAAAATAAAAAAAAATGTATGTCTTGCCCTAGCTGGTTTGGCTCAGTGAGTAGAGCATTAGCCTGCGGACTAAAGGGTCTCAGGTTCGATTCCGGTCAGGGGCCTGTACCTTGATTGCAGGCTCCTCCCTGGCTGGTCCTGGCTGGGGCATGTGCAGAAAGCCACCAATAGATGTGTTTCTCTCACATTGACATTTCTCTGTCTTTCTC